GGCGCGGCAAGGCATTCTCTGCTCCTTGGCATCCAACAGCGGCCCAGCCCGCCCTATCACAACCGGAGTCGACGGCCACAAGGACTTCCGAAGCACCCACTTGTCATACATTGATGTCGGCCATTCTGAGCAAGCAGCAGCCGCAGCACGTCGGATTGGCTTTCTGCATACTCTGGTCCATCCTGTAAGCTTTCCGTGTTCAGGAATAATTTTCAGCTGCACCGCCTCATTGGCCATTGAAATCCTCAATTGATTTGACTGTCGGATGGGTTGAAAACACAAACAGACGCCAACAAGCGAAAGGGGAGCAGTCTGTGCCATCACAGACATCGCCCACATCCTACGCAGTACAGGGCCACAGCCCGCATTCCTGTTCCACCAGCAGAATCGGAAGCATTATTGATGACTTACGCTGTATGGACTACTGGTTCAGGATTGAAGCAGCTGCGCAGTTTGAATTTCTTCTTACAGGTCTCCCAATAATAAATACTAGTAAATGTTATTGTTAAAACGCATTATTTTTCAACTCCAGAGTGGTTGCACCCTTCCAACCAACTCATGACATACATACCAACCCTGTCAATGCTGGCGCCCTGACGAGTTCAAAAAAAAAAAAAGAATTTTCCGTCCCCTGGGTAGCTCGTTTCATGAATTTCGATCACTCTCCCCAACCCTGCTCTCTGCCTTCTGTTTTTTGCGCCGTTCAGGCTGGCAGACCTCACGGATCCCTGTGCCGTGTCTCTTCGAGAATCCCCATTTTTATCATACCGCCCAATCGTACAACAGCCATCCCTTCTTGGCAAGCTTGTGATCAGCCAAACTCTTGGTCGTTGTGATTTGACTGCTGGCTGTCTGGCGCCAGAGGCGAAATGGGAAAAGGGGATGGGAATGGGAATGGGCAAAATCTTTCTCAGCTCGGCGCGACACACTCCTCACATTGTAACAAGATGGACCCCATCACCATCATCGTCATCGCCATGGCTGCATCGGAACAGGCGCTTGACACAATGGTACGTATGTATACGTAACGTACGCGTACGCGACTTACACACGTACGATACAGTACGTACAGTGATGTCTTGCCAGCTCATGCGTTTCTGTTCTCATCTACTTGCCTCAGTCTTCTCAACAGGATGATTATGACGATTATTCACTGTGACTTCGTGGGGGCGTCAATATGAATAATCCTTTTGCTACCCTACACATATAGCCGTAGCATGGTTTTCATCAAAACACATTGGCAAAATGGCCATCCTGTGTGCAACAAGTACTCAGTAGCCTGTGTCTGGCATGATATGAATCCTCCATGCACGATTTTTCCTATCATCGCTGATCCAGGCCGCAAGCAAGAAATAGTCGTCTTGGAATCAGCCAATCACTCATCCCCACATCTTCCTCCAATCGTTGGCAATCAGGCAACTCTGGCGCATGGCGCGCTATGTGCGAGAATTCTTTTTGTCTCTCGTCGCGGTGCACGGCGCCAGTCGCCAGTCGCCAGCCGCCAACCAAGTCTTGACGCTGGCTGAGTTCTGCGACAAGCGGTCAGCGCGAATATTGACTGCCCCCCACTTTCGCTTAAGCTCAGCCGCTCTGACTTGCCGCTTTGTCCTCCGTAGCAGTTGCAAAGGGGAAACGCTGAACGCAGCCAGGGAAGAACCCAGCATACATGGACTTGTACCCATGGGCCATGTCTTCGAGCGCCCATCCAATGATATTGATAAACTGCTCTTGTGGGATTTGAGTTTGTGAATGGGATCGCCCAAAGTTGCTTCCTGTGTGTGCCGTTTGCGGCATTTTCGGGCCTGGTTGCTGGTTCTATTAGTGATAAAATACATATTGTAACCCGTTTCTTTGCAGCAAGGGGCTTCTTCTAACCCAGCTGATTTCCTCGGGTTCGCTCTCAGACTTGCCTTGCTGACTTGGACTTCTAACTTGAACTTTAAAAATATCCTCGTTCAATAGTTTTTCTCTGTTCCCGATAATGCACGCTGTTGAGTTGTGTGAGTGGAGCAACTATTAACATGTTTTTCTGCTGTTGGGCATGACTGGGCAGTGACAACCCGTCTTTGGCTGACGGAGGCCCTCAAATCATTGATGTCAATACCTGAGTTACATCCCCCGAGTTTAAAATGCAACAACCAGGGGGGCAGCGAAATCGCCCTCTCATCCTCAGCCATCCTCTTTCCATTGCAGCTTTTCATCAAGTCCCCGAGTTGGCCATGGACGCGTGATTTAAAATCGACGAGTGGGGTTGCTCGCTGGGATCATGATTGATACCGCTCACCCTCAGCATCCATCCGCCCCCAAAAACATACCAATCAAAAGTACCAAAAATTTAGCGCTGCCTCGGGCGCAGTAGCGCTGCAGTACCCGCATGCCGCTCGCTGCTCGCCAAAAGACGCCTCGTTTGCGCGGTCCACGGTTCGCGCGGCCGCCGGACGCTGCGACGCTGGCGCCCCTTCCTATGTTGCCGCAACTTGTTCCCGGCTTGTAGCGCCATCCCCCCTTGCGACCCGCCATCCTATCACATGCGACCAAGGCATATCATATTCCTCGCCACTTCACATTCCTTGTAAGAGATGCCTGGCTTCCTTCACTAGCGGCAATCCTTGCTGAGCAAGGACTCGAGGAGGAAGGGCGTGGAAGAGCCGAATTGGTTGGGCGGCAAGGGTGTTTTTTTTTTCTTTTGGTGTTGTGAACTTGTGATGGCGTCGTGGGCGTTTGCCCAATCACTGACGCTATGAGGGTGGGCGGCTGTGTGATACACTCTGGACGCGTATGCCGCCCTTGTCTGTGATTCTCATGTTGGTTGGCGCCGGGCAAGCGGCAGTTCTATCGTTATGCGCCTTCAGGCGAGCGTTCCCGCACCCAACCGCCGCATCATTGTTGTGCGGCGTATATGCGGCGTGTGTGCGATGTACGCCGTAATGGCCCTCCTCCTTCTCAATGCTCAATGCTCGATACTCAGCAGCTCAAAGGGTGTCTCCAGCTCACATTGCTCTTTTGGTGGTCAACAATGCCCAGTTGACCTTTGTTTGCATATTTGTTTTCGCCTTTGGTTGTTCTTCTTTTTCTCTTACAGCAGTGTCAGTCATAACCCTCGTTTCCGGCACTTTTGACCAAGCGGCCAACATGTTCCCCTCCACTCCAAGGAAAATGCATGAAAAGAGTTTAAAAGGGTAGTTACCTAACTCACGAGTCACGACACAATCCTCGTTCCATTTTTAACGGTAGAAATGAGCGATGTTGATCTCCTGCTTACGCTCCACTGCTCATCGCAGTCGTTGACACAAATCTGACATTTTTTATCAATCCAACCATGTTTTTGCTGGCTAGCAACCTCAGCCCTGCCATCACATTCAACGACTAATTTCGTTGCTTTTCACCACCCTAAAACTGAACAGGAAAATGTCACGAATCTCCATCCCCGTTGGTTTGGAGGTTAGGTATGTAGGAACTTAGGAAGTGACTTAATCAACCCCACCAGGACGCTGGAAATTGCACTACTGAAGAGTAAGCCCTGACTGTGCAGTACTATGTAAAATCTTCCTGTACAATTTTTTTTTTGCACTACATGGCATGATGGCCGTTAACCCCGCAGTGACGCCTAGCATCCTTTCGGCATTCTCACGGAAAAAGGGCCCCCAAAGGCTAAGCTGAATGTGGCTGGATGAAAATGTTGAGACTCCCGAGAATCCACGGGTTTGAATTTAATGGCTCTTGTCTCGCTGGCTGCTGCGCAGTACGCAGTATGATCTGGTTATGGCCCCATCGTAGGCGCAGTTTGTAGGATATTCCTTGTTGATATCTGGGGGCGGAGGGACGAAGAACTTCACACTAGCCAACAGAGTGGCCTCAGGAAAATGTGACGGAAAGATTCTCATTTCAGCGCTTGGCCATGGCTCCAAGCGAAGAGTGGACTATCACTCCCGAGGCCCCAACTGCCAGAGCTCTTCCTCTCGGACAACGAACCCCCGCGCTTGTCTGCAAAGGGCAATCTTCCTTCGCCCCCATTTGCGCACTACATGCTGATCGACAAGAAAGATTATGCGCGTACTAACTACTAAGCCGAGCCTGCTATCGTAGCGCCGTGCTAGCATTGTACTATTCCATGCACTGTACATACGCTGTAGTACGGAGAGTATATCAGAAGACTCTTCCTCTTGCTGTTCGGGATTTCCCCTCATTTTATCGATCCATAGCAACAAGCGGGTGCACGAAAGGAAAATGAAACCCAGTGCAGTGTAGTAGTGTAGCAAATCAACATCGCTCACTAACCTAGCTCCGGTATCCAGGCCCCCGCATTAACTGCTTCCCCTTCATTTGTTTCAAACTCTTTTCCCACCGCCCTTCATATTGAAGTTGTGTTTCCATCTTGACTAGCTCGTGTTGTTTGTTGGAGTCTTAATTGGCCCATCATGCAGTGCTGACGATCAAGCCGGGAGTCAGCACTTTTAAGCGCGAAATGCGATTTGTAAATATGGATGTAATTCGTCTCGGTTGCTATTTTGGGGGAAGGTGGCCTCCGCACAGAGATTTTTGGGCTTCATCTCCTTTCCCCGTATCTGCGCATGGAGGAGCGCCAACGCATGCTTGTGGATCTCTGCATTTTGTGACGAGGGACAAGCAGCAGATGAGGTTTTCTCTGGCAAGCCCTTGCTTGGATTGACCTCCACAGTGAATTTATAAAAAGATAGAGATAAGAAGATGCCTTGTCTTTTTTGTTTTATGCGAGATGAAGGGATCAGCTTGGCCCTGCTTGACCCGCCCGGACCATTTCCCAATGCCACTCGGCACATCTCTTCCGATCCAAGCTCCTTTGACTCGGGAAGTCTTGAAAATCGTCAATGCGAGTACAAGTGCCTCGTAGAATAAGAGCTGTCGATGTATAATTGTATGGGAATGGGGGTGAGTTTTACATATGTCTAGGTAAGTTTGTTAGTAGTGATCAATCCCGCTTGGGGATCTTGCCCCATGATGTCGAGGCTGCGTATGGAGATGACAGCTACATCAAACGATGTCTGTTTAAAAAGAGTGAACAGGGATAAGAAAGTCATACCAGTTACTTCGTACTGAAGATCTCTTGACATCGCCAAAAAGCTTTCAATTTGAACTGGAATCAAATTGATATAGGGTATAAACATAACTTTGTTATTGTACAGTACATGGTTATAACATTTTTCCTCCCGTTTCGATGCGTCTCAAATCATTTTCTCAAAATGCGTTCTCCCAACCAAAATAATAATGAAAAAAGAATATGCGGAATAAAAGGAAAGAAACAAGAACCGAACCCTTTCGCAAATTCCCCCCTCTACAAGTGCCGAAAATCCGTGAAAAAGGAACCCGTCCCCAGCGGATATAATGGCAGACACAAAAAAGATAACACCACCCTCCAGAATTCCCCATTTTATTTCTTTGTATCCTGTAAGCACAACAAAAAAAATAAGAAAACAAAGGGAATAAGAAGCCCACAACCCGGTGCATTTATCATACCATCTTGCGGGATAAGTGGGGAATATATGAAAGCATATGTCCATCTCTTGGTGCATTTCCCCTTGAAAAGAGTTGCCACCCACGTAATTATGGGGTGGAAGGAATTTGAAAAGGGAACACCGAGATTGACGAGAGCAGGAGGGCGAGTGAGCGGGGAATGACTGCGAACGAAGCGATACGTATGAGGCTCGGTTGGTTTCTTGTTTGTTATTCAACGTCTGTAAAAGCGTGCTTTGTATTCTCCGCATGCCCGGGGCTGCGTACAGTGCAGAGACGCGCCTTTGGAAACAGGCCTGGGGAGCTGAGCATGTCCTTGTTGGGGAAACAAAGGCGAAGGAGAAGTCCAGGAATAATGAGAGTGAGTCTCTTTTTCCCATGACATATGCAACGGAAAGACGAATCAATTCAACCATTCTTTCCTATTTTGTTTCCCCGGGATTCAATGAAATATAACGGAGATGAGTGGTGGATAACTGTAATGACGCCACAGCAGAAAAAAACATGAGAAGTGCCCCAACTCCGATGAATCATAAAACGTCACCCGAAAAAAAATATTCGTGAAAGGAATGCAAGCGTCAAAGACTCGAGGACAAGCTGTTATGAACCGTCTCTCAACTGGAAAGCCAATCTAAAAACTCCGGCACAAAGTAACTTATCACAATCCCCGCCCCAGCCCTCAGAATCCCCTCTGTACTTTCCATCGCCATCGACTTCAAATCAAACACACCCGCCTTCGCCGCCGCGTGGATCATAGCGTACTCCCCGCTCACCTGGTACGCCGCTACTGGCATGTCCTTGCCCAGCTCCTTCGCATCGCGGATGATGTCCAGGTAGCTGCTGGCAGGTTTTACCATAATGATATCCGCACCCTCTGCGATATCGCGTTGGATGGCGCGACGAGCCAGCCCGCGACCACCTGGTGGCAGTTGGTAGCATTTGCGATCTCCGAAGCTCGGGCAGGAGCCCGCAGCTTCGCGGAAGGGGCCGTACAAACACCCGCTGAACTTTGCGCTGTAGGACATCAGGAGAACGCGGTGGGCAATGCCGGCTTCGATGAGCTTGAGCTTGATGGCTCGCACGCGGCCGTCGTTCATGTCTGAGGGCGCGACACAGTGGGCGCCTGCTTCGGCGTAGGCGAGAGCAACGTCAGAGATGCGGTCGATGGAGAGGGCGTTGTTGAGGGTGCCGTCATCGCGGAGGATGCCGCAGTGGCCGTGGGAGGTGTATTCACAGAGACAGACGTCGGCGACGATGTAGATGTCTGGGAAGTGGGAGCGGATTAGACGGATGGCTTGGATGACAGGTCCGCTAGGGTCGTCTGCAGAGGTCCCAAGGGCGTCTTTTGTGTTGGGGGCTAAGGGGACACCGAAGACGATTACGGATCGCAGACCCTTTTGTACAAGGGGTGTAAGGAATGGGATGAGACGGTTGACGCCACGACGGTGCTGGTTTGGTAAGGAGGGAATTGGTGTTTCTTCATCGGGGTTGTCGGTAATGAAAAGGGGGTAGATAAGCATGGACTGGAGCAATGGCAACAGTATATATGTTAAAAAAAACATTCCGTATTCATTTATGTATTCATTTGGGGGGAAAACATGTTCCTCACCTTTGTTAACTGCCGTTCGGCCTGCCATATCCTGTTGAGGGGATGGCTGTAGCCTGCATGAAGCTGGCTGGAGATGTCACCCGATATGCTCACGCTGGTCGCCGCAGTGCTAACATATGAGCGTGCGCCGCCTATTTGGGATGTCAAGCCTTGAGAAGTCAACGTGCTGCAATCATCACGATTCCCATCTCGGAATGCAATGTCCGCAACCAGGGAAGAGAACGACATAATGCGAGCTGACACTTGAGTCGCGAAACTTCTGCCGCGAGCTGCTTTTATTCTTTAAATGGTGGAGCGGGAATAGTTATAACTATCCAATTGAAAGAGCGACTTGATTCTGGGGCGATTGGGAGAGTTTAAAGACTGAGAACAGGATCAGTTCGTCGTCGGTTTCGAAGATGCGATATGTCCAGAAATTTTAGTGCCAAGACATTCCCCGGGCACTGGCTGCGGCTGGTTGGCCAATCACAGGCGCTGCTTACCAACTTCGACCGAGGTCAATATTTATTGGCTGGGAGAAGATGAAGGTGGATGACAGTATACCTTACTACTCGTATTCATGTTCATTGTTATATTGCTTTCAACCAGAGCACGTTCGCTTGGTTATCTTACTTGGGGTATTCTTATAGTAGCTGTGGTAATTATCGTCAAGTAGCCTAGGTCGCAAAAAGGCATATCGCCCGGAAGTAGTAATCTATAGTACGAATAATAGACCTCATTCTCAGGGCAGAAAACTAGATTAATACTAGACGTTATTATTCTAACCATTGCCTTTCCGTATTACCCTCCCAGATTTCCCTTGTCAAAATCTACTTCCATCAGGTGCCGGAGCAGCATTCGCTGGTAGACATTGTCAGATACGTAGCGGATATGTCGCCGATGGGAAAATGGCAGGCAGGCGCTTCCTGAGAATGGATGGATTGAATGCAGCTGGCAGATTCTTACGCGATTCTCCAAAATGATAAAATATTTATACAAATGAAAGCATAGAGGACTGCACCATGAGAAGTGAGATGTCTCAAGGAAGAAGCACCCAACCGCCGGATGCTCGAACATTGAACCAAAACATGATTAGCACCAGAGTCACAAAAAGTTGGAATGACATATGCGAGAAGAGCGTAACGTAAAGCTATTCAGGGATTTAGATTATCTCCTAATTGTTTCTCATCAAATAATAACAGAGGAGGGCAAGGAACGGTTTTCATCATTTTGAAAGTACTCGGTATTAGAACACAAAGGAAGGGTTAGTAGTGGGCGACGGCGAAGAGTGACTTACTGTGCTCTACAAGTCAAACGCAGGCCAAAACTGCGTAGTCTTCTCTTCGGGGATAAACTCCACTTATTCCCTTCATTTATGGGGACATACCCAAGTCCTAATGCTGTGTAGAGGATGGAAATGAAGTTTCCTCAGTGGTGAACTGGGAATCCATGGATCTAGAGGCGACATCACGTGCCAAACTCGGCTCTCCATGGATTTCGAGCCCTCCAAATCAAATGCTCGCAGAGTAGATAGCAATCAACGTTCAATTCTCCAGATATGAACGCCACAGATGGATAGTAGGTTTGGAAAGGGGCTTCCAGCTGTATGTCTACTAGTGCTCAGAAGCCTAGCGGCCAGACGCTCCAGGATTACTAGTATATAAATATCTTATGACACAACGATGGATGGTAATGGTTTTATTTTAGCTAGTTATAAATATAATACAGAAAATTCAGAAAGATTTTTAATGGCAGTGCAATATTTGTTGAGTTTCTTTTTAATAACCTGGAGCTATTACCTCTTCCCTTGAATGCTGAAAGAAAGGATCATGACTGCGTTCAGAGAAGCCTCGAATCTTCAATCTCAGAGTAAATACATAGTTAAGCACATTGTTTCCACAGAAGCTGGTTCATACAGTCATTATTCGAGGCATATAAAGACCGAGAGATATTGAGTGGATTTTATTTTGCCTATCTATTCAAACAAATCACGCCTGGCTATGATCTAGCTGCAGGGAACGCACGAAATGAATACCCGTTCATTCATTCGTTCATTTATTTATCCCCTTCCGCAACCAGCCCGAAAGGGTAAGGAAGGGTACACATCCCCCTTCAAGGAGAGGGAGCAAATATGACAAGAGAGAGAAAAAAGAAAGAAAGAAGAAAGAGTATATTTTCAAAGCTGCACATCGTTGTTCAGCAGGCGAACCTCCTCCCCCGGCTTGAAGGCCGGCAGGCCGATATACGGACACCCATCGCAGCGGAACGCATCGCCCAGCGAGCAATTCCCGCAGCTGCCCACCTTGCCCTGCACGGTGAAATCTACCTCTGCCAGCTCGCTCGAGCCTAGTTTCATGGTCTCCAGCGCTTTGTCGGCAGTGGCGCGTTGGGCCTTGTCTTTTGCCTCAAGCTTCTGAGAGAGGCCGCAGGAGCAGTCCTTGCACGCTCGTCGACGTTTGCCTGGCTTTGGGCGGCATTCAGGTGCTGTGTAACGTGGTTTAAGTTCGGAGTCTAGTTGTTGTAGCAGGGATTGGTGAGGAGGGAAAGGATAAGGGAGAGAGGGGGGCTGTGGGCATGAAGCGGATTGCAATGGACTATTCAACTCACGTTGGACAATTTGTCTTCCCATATCATCTTCATCAAGCAGTTCGTCCTCGTCGATAAGCTCCTCGTCGGAATCCTCCAGATCATCTTCCGCCGGCACGCCAAAGTCATCGCTGAAATCTATAAATCCCACTCCAGGGGGAACTGGGTTATTTTCGGTCGTCTTGGCTGCAGGAATAGGCGCGCTTATTCCATTTGAAGCTGGTGCGTCCACTGTCCCATTGGTAATGTAATTGGCAGAGGACGCAAGAGTGTCCGTCTTTTCCTTCTCCTTCTTTCTCCTGCCCAGCTTCAGCGGAATAGCCTGCTGCGCTCCGATATCTGGCTTCAATAGCTCTCCCTTATCATCAAAGACTAGGCCTGCCAAGATCACTTCGTTCCTGAACCGCTGTTCATCATCATTGTAACGCCTGCTGCTGTTCGCATTATTACCATTACCATCACTCAAACCCCACGGCTTATTTTCCCGGTTCCGCAGCTTCCCCGCCGGTCTCAGACTGTGCACGACCCGCTGGATGAGTTCACGGTTGAGCAGGCTATGGGTTTCTGCGAGGGTGTTGTCTGCGCCTGTTAGGAGGAGGACGATGTCGTAGGTGGATTCTGGAAGGGAGACGAGGCCGTGGGCAAGCCGGTCGAGCATCTGCAAATCAGTCTTGTCCCGCGTGTGTGATTTTAAGACCGTGTTTAGCTTTTCGGGATGCGAAGAGAGGGATGGTGGGGAGAGGAGGAGGACTCGTCCAGTGGTCGCCATCGTTTCTGAACGGTGGGGATGCTAGAAAATTGGAATGAATGGAAGAAAAGAAAGAAGAGGGGAAGATGTTTCTTTATTCTTTTTTACACCTTCTTTGTCCTCGTGGTTTTATTGATGTTGTTGTTGTTGGGTGGTGATTATTTTCTTGGAAATAATAATTTATAAAAAATTGCGATCACATCATTGGAAAGTTTTTACTGCTTGTGCCCCTCGCCAGGAAGTATCTGTACCAGAATGCTGGCGCCATCACATGCGGGGAAAGAAGTACTCCTAGGTAACGCCCCGATCACCTGCTGGCACATCTATTACTAATACTCGTTAAGTCGCCCTCTCCGAAATCGGTCAAAACTTTCCAGGAGCGTTTCAAATTCTTCCACAGCGGTTGATGATCCTTTATAAGTTACCAGAATGCTCAATGAACAATCAATCGTATTTGAGTCGATCAGGGAAAAGTCCTATTCGGCCACTACGATAGATCCTCTCTACGTGAGGCCCGTGATCGGAGAGCGGCGGCTGTGGTAGCTGGCCTCTCTGTAAGTGTCGTTATTCTGCATACAAGTAAGTGGAAAGGTGTATTAAGCGTAGAAGGAACTATGTTTATCAATTGCAGGTAGCAAAGTGCGATGTGTGAAATATTAAATTATTATAAGAATATCCGGAGTATTTCCTCGTCTAGGAGCGAGGTAATTTTATTAGCACTTTCATCAACTCACTGCTTTGCCTTGGCCAGGGAAAGTGTACTGTATGTGTTGACCGTTTTGACAGAAAGTCAAGGAAGGTCTCTAGATTTGAACCTCAGGCTTCTTCTCCCTGCATCCCAAGGCAAGGTTTATTATATTATACACACACATACTTTTAATTTCGGAGTGGAAGCTGTGTTGGCATTCATAATTCATTGTGGTGATGAACTCCTTGGTAAAAAATGTACAGCAATACTGTTTCTTGTTGATGCTTGCAGTGAATGGGGCTTTCAATAACATACATACCTATGGATAGTTTGTTTTTTATCTATCATATTACTATAGTGACCAGTACTGTTTTGACGCAAATCCTGTTACCTGTTTGTTGCAAAACCAAGTTTACCTCTCCTACCCCGGATATTCACCGCCACACTAGTCCGCATTAGGGCGCGACAACGCTGGCTGGCCCTGGCGCCATGGGAGAATGACGTAGTGTGGGCCTCTGGACCCGCTGGTCAGGTGCTCCTCACCCAAGGGAAGCAACTGGTCCCGTGCGACATTTGAGTGTACTGACCTACTAGCACATTCTACAGCGTGGCGTCTGCTGCATCCATCTGTTCTATTGACGCGGATGCGCGGATGCATCGCTGCCGACTGCAGAGTGGAGACAATGCAAAGGGGAGAGCGGGTTGGAAGACGGCGTTGAACAAATTGGCCTGTGCCTTTGTGAGATGAGAGCGCGCATGGCTTGTTGTGCTGTGCTCTGGGGTCATGTGCCGCGGTGGTGCAAGCCGGTAACTCAGGAAACCATACTCCGTACAGGCTGGACAGAGGAAGGTTTGATTCCTGTGTATCAGACCCCAAGTTACATCATACGTAGGCCCCAGGTACCACCTCGCCCGCACCCCGGCCTGCGAGGTACCTATAAGTACATACGGACACCTGTCTGCCCTGTCTCTGTCTGCTGTCTGCATTTGCTCTCGATCTGTCAAAAATACCAGGACCTTACTCATCAACCCTCCTACCCTCTCGGCACCTTGGCTTTCTCCCGCTAGACTCTGCTCGTCCCCCAAGCTTGTTTCTCCTTCTCCTCCTCCTCCTCCTCCCCGTCCTGCTCCCACCATCCATCCTTTCAGTTCGTCTTCGTCGATTCTCCAACCCTCCTCCTCGATCTCTGTTACATCGTTACTTTGCAAAGAAATACCTCAATTATCCTTCTTCTGTTCCCGTTGTTTTACCCAATCTATCTGTTTAGCAGCTCTCAGTCGATCCTTTATTCCAGCCGCTCTCTTCGCCCCTCCTCTCTCTGCCACTCCTGAACGCCTTCTACGGAACAACCCCCTCCCTTCCTCCACTGCTTTGATCAACCACCTAGCCAACAACATAACTTCCAATTCCCCTCATCGAAGACCTTCCTCAAAAACGTCCTGCCATTGACAATCCCTTGATTCTCCTTTTTCATAAGTATGTTCATTCGTCACCTACCAGGGTCATTATTGGTTATCTGTTCTTTCGGTTATCCACTCGATCCATCATCTCCAATGGCAAAAATTCTTTCTTTTCAGACCCCACCCCTATACAATTGGCCGCCAATCGCTAATCTATGTGTGTTTATTCTTTGACAGTGACCCGCTCTCACAAGCTCAACGATCGTGACCATGCTGGCCTAGCTGATGGCACCGCCGCTCCCGAAGAGCATCTACCTCGCTACTTTGCAAAGAGTGGCCATGTCGATGCCGACCCTAGGAAAACCAAGAAAGATGGTGGCGGAAAGGGCAATTGGTGAGTTTCCATTGGAGAATCCCTCCCTACAAAAAGAAACAAACCCACAGTTACCCACTGATGAAAATATACCCATCTCCTCTTGCCGTATATTGTTACAACGTAAAATCGTTCTCCGACTTTTGCTGAGATCATAATTCCATAGGGGCCGTTCTGGAGACGAAGTGCAGGACTACGGATATACCTTCACCAACGCCAGACGTCGTTCCAACAGCAGCACGCAAGGGCTGGCAGATTTCAAGACCAAGTTCGAAACTATTGAAACGGATCCGGTCTTCGAGGAGGAAGTACATGGCCCGCTTGAGGATATCGACGGTGTGGATGGGGTTAGGGTCAAGACCAATGATAGTAGCAGCACCAGCGCCACCAGCGAGGAGGACATTGAAGTGAAGAAGGCTTAGATTTTGGTCAAATCCTTTCCTCCACCGTTGTACCTCGACCACACATCTTCTTCTGCTCTTATTCAAAGGATTTCCTCCTTCCCACATCACCCTCTCCTTTTTTGTTTTGCTGTTATATGGAGTTTTATCGGCTCGGTTGTTGTTAGTATTTGTGGCTGTTGTTGGCTCTTTCCCCTTCATTTTTGTCTTGAGCCAGTGTGATGCCCCGGGGCAGACCTTATCCCCTGCTGTGAGTGGAAAGGCTGGTTTTCCTTTTCCCAATGATGTGCCTTGTCTCATTGGGATAATGTGGAATTGACACAGCGCCAATCAGATATCAGAAATTTAAAGTATAACTAGTTATTGTAATACAACTTACAATAAGAAAGGAAACATATATTTATTTTTATATTGATCGTTTTTGCCAGCTGATGCGTGTGGCTATTTTTGATTTTTTTTATTTTTATTTTTATTTTTATTTTTTTTTAAAAAAAAAGGGAGAGAAAGCGCGTGCGCTTTAGATATGTCGATGCGTGTTGGAGGTAGTTTGTTCATGGGTGAGTTAGGATTAAGGTTAGTCAAGGTAAAGGGCTTGAAACATTCCTTGATAAGCTAGCTACCGCTGCTGGGGGAGTCACTTGTGACAACAGTTTTAATTGGGGATCTCCATGATTGATCCCGGCGGAAAATTTGAACCACACTCACTTGTGCACTAGTCGGGACGTTTGCTCGACGGGATAAGAGGGTGTTTACTCATGCCAGCCTGGCATATCGCCGAGCTGCCACTGTCGATCTTGGGATTCTCTTTCCATATCCGCCAGCGGGTCCCCCATAATCAACATAAGAGTTCAATACGGGCACCCCACAAAATGAGCCCCTGTGGGGTTTTGGAATTGGAAAAGGAAGCGTGCCGTCCAGTTTTTGCAATATTAAATATACAATATTGGGGAGGCTGTCTGTCCGCATTGTTTTTTGCGTTCTCCTCCATGAAGAACAAAAGATGTTTGCTCAATACCCCCCCTCTGCTAGAGTGAGGAACTGAACGTGTTGCTCATTGTCCGGAAGAAGGCGTATATGTATATACACTTCTCGTAATATGATGCAACCGCAAGGCACGTAGCTGGGTGAGAGCCCGCGATGCCCATACATATCATCTGTATCCCAACTAGATAGCTCAACTGATTGACCTCCATAGAGCGCCCGCGGGAGTTCCGGTCCGTAACTAAGTTATGTGATCCGGCATACTCTCTATGGTCCTTTGTTTAACCATATTTCCAAAGGCACGTAAAGGCCAGCCCGGCAAGATTTCCACCCACCCACAGTGACGCTCGCGCGGCATGCCGATGTTGGAGTAGGGGAGGAATTGCTCTCAAGGAAGCAATGTGCTGAGCTTGATGGGTTTTGTTTGAGAAGTTGCTGTCGGATAGAAAGTAAGAGTAGGATGGGGTAGCACCATAATGCTTACCTGGGTTGTGTAGAAGCTAGCCACGAATACCGTTGTTGAGTTTCGCGGCTTCAGCAAGCATGACATCTGGTGACTTTTGCCGGCGGGAATGGTCTCAATTAATCAGAGTCTTCCCCGGTTTCTAAGAAAACAACCTGCTTGTATTCCAGGAGTTTTCAATGAAGAATGTGAGGTCACTGGTAATGATTTTTTTGACAACCGTGAGGAGTTTCAGGTTTGTTTACACGTTGCGGCCAGAGATCTCTCACACGAAGTTTTGATCATAGCCGCTACGGTGGATATCATGTGACCCGCGCCAAGGTTCCAAACAAACACTTCATTGTCGGAGCTCCAAACTGTAAACAGAGGAACACATTTGAACTTGCGGAGCGCGGTTGGCCAACAGCTGGAACAGACAGCTACCAGCTTTGGCTTCCTTTACACTCTTAAGCCGTCGCCATCCCTGTTATTTTCCCCTTCACTATCATGTTCTCCAGTAATGTCGCAGCTCACCCCTCTGTCGCTGCCTTGCGAAACCCACGTCGGCGGCAGAGAAGCAACGCAGATGAGTCGGTGAAGCCCCCCAAAGCAAAACGACAACGCTCGACGTTGCGCCAGGATGACAGAGAACCTGCTGTGGTCAAACACCTTGGCGAGGGGCAGTCGCTACAGGATGACGAGAATGGGCCGGAGGAGATTTCAAGTCGACCGGTGACAGTGAGCGAACTCGCGCTGAGAGGACCTAGGAAGCAGGAGAAACGCGGAGGTCTTACGGACGGTACTATTACTCTTGTAGGAGAACCATTCGTTGTTTTATTTATCTATCCCTCATATTGTGTCTCTACAAAGAATCTCGGACGCTGACGTTTGATCCTAGTCCAGCAACGACTTCTACACCGTTTCGCACCTACCTTCGTTACCTGAGCAGATCAAGGAAAACCCAACAGGTAAGTTGAACCTTAAAATCACCTTTTGAATGGCTATATTCTGATGGATAGATTTTATTTAGCGCCATTGAGATATACAATTAGCTCGTCGAATGGATACTGCCTTGCCCTTTCGCAACATGAAGCTATCGTTTGGCCGTACACAATTCCCCCCCAGTCCCTCACTCCAAGCACCGTCCTTCAGTTTGCTATCCCGTGCCCGGCGAGGCATTCCGATGACCCTCTTCCCTTAGGGACGCTTATATCCAAATCTGCTGAAGGCAACCCAGGCTTGATGGTTGTTGTTCCATCAACGGGAAAAATTACTCTTTGGGAAACCGTTTCGAACGCTGCCATTCTTGGGCTCATGAAACAAAGACAAAACGGAATTCAAGGGCACATACCTGGCATGTTATCCGGAGAGATGGCTACGGAAATCATTAACGCCGAACCTTCGGGAATTATCATTGCGTTATCTACTGGTCGCCTCGCCCATGTGTCTATTCGCGATTCACAAGGCAAACCTGGCATTTCTGTTCAATTGCTTCATGGGATATCACGAGGGAGTAATGTTGGCTTCTTTGGGGGAATCAGAAGTGTGCTCTCTGGTAGCTCATGGAAAAGAAAAATCGCGGCTGCTAAGGCTGGCATGTCGTCCCAACGCGGTCAGCGCGATATTATAATAGCTACCAGCGCGGGGGAGTTTGAGCTGTGGGATATCCACTGGAATAACGGGAACTCTCTCAAGGCGCAGGTTGATGCGAAGCAATCCATTCTACAAGCTCTGAGACGTACGGTGGATGTCTCTGAAGACGATGCCCAAAATACTTTCCAGGTTTACGATTTCGCGTTTGCTAATGGGGACCCCAATCACTACGCTCCTGGGGATGTAAACGATGTTGATTGTGCCATCTCTCTTTGGGCGCTGGTCGGGGTCTGTCAAAATTCGTCCTTGTCGTATTTTGTTGTCGGCCTGAGGATTGCGGGTTCCACAGCGACTGCTGATGTTGTCAACCCCCTTCAACTTCGAAATAACGCCGTGGATTCTGGTGCTCTTTGGACACCACTCCTTTGTGTCCCTAAACCTGGAGGCTGGGCGTTTGTAATATTCGACAGGGGGTTGGTGATCATATCCCTTGTACCGCTTGTTGATCCAGTATCGGCCCAACTTCTAGAAGAGAGCCACGTGATGGATTCAAATTTCCAAGATTATATCCGGCTCAAAGATGGAAATGGGTACGCCGTCCAGGGGTGTAGTCCCGAGGATTCCGATGCCGACCATAAATATCCGTCATGCATCCTCATGATTCGCAACTTTGGCCTCATTCGGGTATCTGCTCTGCCCAGGCCGCCCTCCAATATTGCCGATGGGGCAAAGATTACCGCTAAATCGCGACTCGAGCAGATCGTATTTTACGGTAGCATGAAATCGAACCCTCTTGAATTTGTTGGTTATGATGAGCTTCGCTCTGCTCCCGCTGAGCTTGAACAAGCTGCATTACAAATAAGTGACGAAATTCTTCGGTCTAACTCGAAATTCATCCCGACCACCATCCCATCCCTGGAGCAGTATATGAAAATGCGAGCTTCTGCACTTCATGATTTAGCTCTATACATACAACGATTCCATGTATATTTTTCCCCTTTGGCGAGGTGGAAGCTCTTGTGGGGAGCAGAAAAAATGGCAGCTCAACGAGCTATATGGAAGGTACAACAGGGAAACGAAGAACATCCTACCAGCAACCGGACACATCTCGACTTCATTATTTCAAAAATGGGAGACAATCACAAAACGAAAATTGAGCCGGGAAGCGGCGAAACCGACATTGTGCGGCATTGGTTTATTCATGATACGTGGAGAATGGAATACATCATCCCGTGGATCTTAAACGGGCTTCGAAAAGAAGATAGCAATACGTCGCGTGCGGTTGACAGGCAATTTGCGGAGAGGGTTTGCGAGGCTTGTGACTTGTCATTGGCTGCACTGGAAACAGCCTTTCAATTCCGAGAGGATAGTGCCGCCCTATACGGAGTAGGCGAAGGATTTATGGACGACGATGCAGCTATCGTGGCGCAGTATAGTGCTTTACCTGAGTTTTGGACGTCAACGCAAATTAATTATTCAGAAACCGAACAGCTCTTGGATCTGGAACTCAACATCTGTCGACGTCGCCCTGCTACAACAGCAGCTACTGGATCAGATTCATCAACTACGAGAACCAGCAAGGTTCTCGACACTATCAAAGAAAATATCCCCAGGCAATTCCGTGCATTTGCATTGCTACACAAAGAGCGGACTATGTGGTGTGCAGCGCAGAATGACTCGGAGATCCAGAGTAGTGGGAAAATGCTTGAGAAATCGCATGTGGAGAATCGCAAACCACAGTTGTTTAAACTGGCAGCGATTGGCTTGCTGGAAGATGCAATTACCCTTGCGGAATCCTTCCGAGATATGGATGCGTTGGTGGAACTTATGGTCGACTTGCACGAGCAAATAAAAGAGCAGAGGCCACCAAGACGATCAGAGGACGATAGCCCAGTACTCGATGAAGGAACGAAAGTCTGGAAACGGAGAATTGACAATTATTTCGAACGATTTGGTGACGCCTGGGCTGATGCTTTCTTTACCAGACACATCACCGTCGGCCAGCCAGAAACGCTTTTCATAATGCAGGAGTACCAGGGAGCGGTTACGAAATTTTTACGAAGCCACCCAGCGTATTCAAAACTGAGCTGGATCAATGATATTGTTGGGGAGCGTGATTATAAAACCGCATGCACGACCCTGCAGCGCTTAGCGATTGAACAAGAAACCGACATCTGGAGCAAGCGCGTCGAAATATCGCTTGCCAAATTAGCCAAACTAGCAGAATTCGAAAAGGCTGGATCTGCGCCAGCAAGCCTGCACGACGCTGTAAGGCCGTTCGACCAACTTATGGAAACATGTAACATTCAAGAATTGATCTACGAACATGTCCTCCCAACACTACATGGTGCTATCGATGACGGGGCCGCTCTCCAACTCGCCACCGAACAGTTTGGAAACAACGTCGTGCGCGGCAAGCCAGCTCTCCGTGCCCTTCTCCAGCGTTGCCTCGCCAAACTCGTTACTAGATCACCAATGGAGCCAGAGGAACTCATCAATCTGCTGACGTTGATGGATCCCGTTCGGTTCCTTGAAGGTGGAGAAGAGGAAGATAGCATTGGCGGGCATGAATTTTTCTTCGCACTCACCGTTCTCAAGATGGGAAATTTCCATCATCAGGACCAGCAAGCGCACGAGTACCGCGACGGTTTGGAAAGACTCATCTGGCGTCGTTGTATGATTCGTGATAATTGGGAGGCTATCAATCGGACAGAGAAGAAGGGGGATAGAGAGGTTGAGTCGAAGGTTCACGCGACGGCGTTAGCAGAGACTATGAGACAGCTTGCTGAAGGTAGAGGATTCTTTTCTTTCTTCCCCTGTCCCTTCTTTACAAAGGCTGTATCTATATACTATTTTGAATTGTTTTAAAACTAACGCCCATTGCCTCACAACACAGTACTTGGCGAGGATGTTCGCCTGACCCGCCAATCTTACACCCCCTCGCGTATTCTTGAATCAAACATTTTCCCTTCAATGTCCCATGCAGGCATGCCTCCGGATCAGCAGATTAGCTACCTTCAGGAGTTGGATGCAGAGGCTGACTTGCTACGCACATACGTCGAGAAGGGAAAGCTTGACGAGTGGTTCTCTTGGATTATTAGTGAGACGACGGGACGGTTTTCAACACCTGTTCGCGAAGGAGGTAATAATCCTGGTGGCCACTGATGTTGAGGGGATATGATGATACTTTTCTCCACTTCACTGATTTTTTTTCCTTTTTCCCTTTCTTTACCTTGCATTGTACTAACTCTACATATAACCACTATTTCCTATTTTGTGTTTGCTATTGGCGGGGGTTGTTTTACTTGTTCCATGTGTGTATTTTAATCATGGGTGGAATGTGGCTGGTGTTGGGTCGTCAACAGAATTTAAGACTTTGCATGTATAACCCTTTTTCACTTGTATGTCAAGTCCTTCTATGTACATGTACATGTTGTTGAAACGCCTGCCAGGGTTGGAATTGGAGAAAAACTGATTTTCAGCTTTGGTTGCACTTGGTATTTCATCAAAGCCATTTGTGTATTATGCCCGCAACGTTACCCATGTTCATTTATCAAACACTTGTGAAATCGATAGTCTCAAACATCAGGGATAAGACGACTCAATACTTCATTAAATCATTCAGGTAGCATTTGGTATATTGCAACCGAGTCTACTTGCACAGGAACTCGACTCACAAATAGTTATTGGGCAAAGGGGAAAATCTAGAGCATCCTGAAAAAGTAGACATATGCAAATTGCTTCATTTCCTCCACATCGCTCGCCTCAACGACCTTCTCATCGTTAAACAGGACCCATTGCGGTGTCTCCGATCCTGGTAGGAGCTTTCGTACAAACGCGACATAATGCCTAGGTTTTTGCTCATTAGTAACGAAAACGCGCACCAACCAAGGAAGGAGACGTGAAATAGTAAGCAAACTCACCCGGCATGAACTGAGGCCCCCTTATGACAGATGATGGATTGTAGTTGGAATTCAGCTGGTAACTCTTTGAAGCCAGGAGGCTCTCTGGTGTTGCCAGATGGCATATCTCCTGAGGAATCCTCTAATGCTCCTGTGTCATCAGGATGGCTGAACACCCACTCGACCGCTCTCATAACATCACCACCTGTTTCTCTGAGAGCCATGCGAGCCTTGGCCACGTCAATTCCCATTTCGTTAAGCTGGGCGATACTGTCTGGATCATCCATCGGTTGATCGTTTGAGGGAGGATTGCCTGCTGTAAGTTCTACAGGTTCGTCAATATCCGGGTCCTCCATGTGGGTAATTAGCCAATTCATCGCAGCCTCTACGTTAGCATTTCCGGTTGCGTGAAGGGCTTTTTTGGACCGAACTTCTGGAAATCCCATAGCTAAAAGCTGATCAAGTGCATTGTGGTTTGGAATAAACGCTGCGGGTTGGCTTGCGGGTGAATCCTCTGGTAATAATTCTTCGCCATCCTGGAGCCCGGCGGATATATAAGCACTCATATCAAAGGGTTTATCATCAACCTCAACGGGAATATTAAGCTTTGTCGGTACCCAATTAACGAGGCTAAACCTACGAGCATTAATCACTAAATTCCTTGGGAAGGTTTTAAAACGAGACCTTTTGAGGAAACCTGCTTTGCTACCACACGCGGTACACGACAATTCGACTCTCTCATCTGCAGTAAAAATGTCCAAACATTCTTTCAAAGTCACTCTTTCGAATTCCGGTGTATTTGGCGAAGTCTGATCCCCTGTTGAGGTTGTATCATTTTGATTGGACTTTATGTGACGTGCTGGAACAGGGACCGAAATATTATCCTGCTCATCCACCGTATATCGGACCTTTCTGCACGCTAGACATTGCAAACGTTGTTCTAGTGCAAACCGAAATGAGCCCACAGGGTCTTGGAGGCCGTCTGTGTGTTTTGAACGTGTAATGAGTTTGAAAAGATGTATAAGAAATTCAAATGAATCTTGCTGACGCATTGTTGAGAATTCTTCGTGGCCACGACCCACCAAATGTTTGAACATCGCAGGAGCAAGACCCTTTTGATAGACGACATCGAGCGAATCAGTAGAAATAGCTGCATCGGGATCGGGGAATGAATAACGGCCAGAGAGTAGACCATCGTTGAGTTTCCGTAACTGTGTTTCAAGATCTTCCGCTGGGGTTAATGTGGCTGGTGGAATGGCCATGGATTGGGAATACCGCTCTTTGAATTCAGGCAATGAGAATAGGCACTGTAAAACACTGGAAACATAGCAGCTGTTTCCCAAATTCTTGAGTCCTGTAAGTCCCTTTCCAAAAAGGGGCTTCGATTCATGTCCATCCTGTCCAGTCATCGAAAAATCCCATTTAAGGTTTTGTTCAATCTGCATTTCCACGAGACTTTGTTCGGTTTTTTCGAGATCAGCGATATTTATGTTCCAGTGTTTTAAATGTGTGGTAAGGTCAGGATCGATGATCTCGTCATTGCATTTGTAGCAGAAAACATCCGCAGAGCCCTCCGGTGTAATGGAACCAAGTTTAACGGCGACTCCATGGGAAGAAAAATCTGCATGGGCGAGGCCATGAGAATTACCACCTACGCCGCCAAACTGACTTCGACCACACCCTAAATTACCGCATTCGAGGCACAACCAGAGGTTCTCTTTTAAGTCGCATGAGGAGCATTTACATAGATCTAAGGAAGATGGGTTCAGTTTGGGGGCAGCTAATACAATCTTTCTTGTATGGCAAAGAGTATACCTTTTGACGTTGTCTGATTCGATTGATCCTGGACGAGAGACAGTATATGCTGGCACGGTTTGTATTCCTGCTCCCAGGCCTTGACTTCCTCCTTCCGTGAGAATGTGGCAGCTTTCAATACACCATTGACAACCGCTGGGAGTTTCCCAGCGGATTTTTCAATGTCACTAACTTGACAAGAATGGCAGTTAACTCTCGTGGTAGTGTCATAGCGATCTTCTTCACTTTCCGCAGTGATGGCTAGCTTCGACATCTTAGGGGGGGGTTCATCTCGCTTTATTGAATTTTATTAGTATGGACTGAAGCACCTGAGAATTATATTCGGATTCAAAACATCAATAAGAAAAAGAAATTAAGTTAAGGAAATCTAACCTGCACGGCTTTTCTTGTCCTCCTGATATTCAACACGAGCGGATGTCCTGAGCGCTGGTGGTGGATGCTTGAGTGATTCCTATCGCCCGTACATCCGCCGTTGAAACAGAAAAGACAGACATCTAAACCCGAAGGATCGTCCTTTATTCACCGTTAGAAGTGTCTGAAGTAAAATATAGCTAGAGATAATAGTAGGCATACTATTGAGTCAAAGCACTGGGTGCAATCCTCTCGATAAACAGGTTGGTTAACCCGCGGGGCACGGAGCTCTAGCGAAGTCGCTGTTAGGAACAAAACAAATAACCTTAGAGAAAAGAGTAGGCAAACCGACCAGGAGAATCAATATGAATGCAAGCCATGGCGTACCCACTCCGAAATGACTTGCTTCTGTTGATGTTGAAGGAGGGAGGGTTTCAGGAATTAAGCCGCAAATTGATCAGGCAGCTTGCGATGAGGTCAGTGTGATTATGTAATTGTGGTTGGCTCTCACTCACCCCACCTCAACCGCTTAACGCGTGTTCAACCGACGCGTCCTCGATATCAAACCTCATCGATTGATTTCGAACAACAAAGCAACGAACAGGCACGCAAGAACGCCTTTCATCAACACCAATTACGTCTACTAGCTGTCTTATTTCTGCATTACTTGATATATTGTCATATTGTTTGAAAGCTTGCTTTCCGAGACCACCATGGCAGACCCCGCGGCAGAGATCACGATGGGGGCGCTTAGGTATTTTCTCAAAGCTTAGCGAACATTATAAGTCTATTAAACTGATGGTATCCAGCGCAATTTTTGATGACTCAAAACCCAAGATCGCTGAGCCTGTAGTCCAATGTGTTCAAGTTAAACCTTTGCCTCCTCAGCCAAACAGTCCTGAAAGGTTCAGAGCCGTTTTCAGTGACATCACAAACTACGTACAGACAATGCTTGCAACCCGTATGCTTAGAACCCGGCCGCCAATGACTACTGAATGTCCATTTTATTAACTTGGATGTGATAGAAGCCAACCATTATGTTACGAGTGGGCAATTAGTCCGTGGCTGCTTCGTTCGGTTGAAATCATTCCAAGCGAACATGGTAAAAGGGAAAAGGTCAGTTGTTCTCTCGCCATCTGACATAGTCAAGGATCAACACCAGAACCAGCCTGACCATTATACTTTGTTACAGAATCCTAATCATCCTTGATCTCGAAGTGTTGGACAGACTGGGCATATGTGAGAAGAAGATTGGTGATCCTCAACCCCTTGACGCAAAGCAAGAAGAGCAAGACAAGACTATCCCGACGACAATTTCCAGCAATGGGTTCTATGGCTCCCGTGGGCCCCAACAGCCACCCCAACAACCACCCCAACAACCAGCGCAGCGATCTGCGGCGGCAGCAACCGCCCATGCTAATATATATCCCATCGAAGCACTATCCCCGTATTCCCATAAATGGACGATAAAGGCACGGTGTACGAACAAATCGGCTATCAAAACATGGCACAATAAGAATGGAGAGGGCAAACTTTTTAGCGTTAACCTCTTGGATGATAGCGGCGAAATTCGTGCTACCGCTTTCAAAGACCAGTGCGATTCATTGTATGGCGTTTTTGAGGAAGGCTGTGTATATTACATATCAAGCCCGTGCCGTGTCCAAATGGCCAAAAAAGCGTTCAATAACCTCAATAACGAATATGAACTTACCTTCGAAAAGGATACAATTGTTGAAAAAGTCAGTCTTACCCATACCTGTTTTTAATCATCAATAAGTAGAATTCTAACGTGCAGGGATGCAGGCCGAAGAGCAAAACGATGTTCCGCAAATTCGATTCAACTTCACCAATATTGCTAATTTGCAATCGGTAGAAGCAGGCACCACAATCGATGTGATTGGAGTGTTGAAGGACGTTGGAGAACTCTCTCAGATCCTGTCTAAGACAACTAGCAAGCCTTATGACAAGCGTGATCTTACGTTAGTTGACAACACAGGATATTCTGTTCGACTTACCGTATGGGGAAATATCGCCAAAGAGTTTGATTCGGTACCGGAATCTGTGGTCGCTTTCAAGGGCGTGAAAGTCTCCGATTTTAATGGGAGGTCTCTTAGTTTGCTCAGTTCAGGGTCCATGACAGTTGACCCCGATATTGAAGATGCTCATAAATTAAAGGGCTGGTATGACGCCCAAGGAAGGTCGGAAACCTTTGCGTCCCATGACTCAATGAACAATGCTGCAGGGTTTGGTGACCGGGCTAGCTCCTTCAAAACCATTGTGCAGGTTCACGAAGGCAATTTGGGGATGTCTGAAAAACCAGATTATTTCTCGGTGAAAGCCACCGTGGTTTATGTCAAGCAAGACACCATGGCCTACCCCGCTTGTCTCACTGACAAATGCAACAAAAAAGTTCTTCAGGATGAGAATGGGCAGTGGCGATGCGAGAGATGCGACCAATCATTCCCTCATCCAGAGTATCGCTATATCCTGTCTGTGAACGTGTGCGATCACACTGGTGCTTTGTGGCTCAGTTGCTTTGACGAAGTTGGAAAAATTATTCTAGGAACTTCTGCAAATGAGCTTATGGAGCTTAAGGAAAACGATGAACGGGCCTACGAAGAGCTTGTCCAGAGAGCCAACTGTCGTGCTTGGAATTTCAATTGCAGGGCCAAAATGGATAACTTCCAGGATCAGCAACGGTGAGTTATCCCTTCCGTCTACAGTACTGTACATGCAGTTTCTAAGAATAACTATTAGTGTTCGATACCAAGTATCGTCCGTTAGCGCTATCGATTACAGTGTGGAATCAGCTCGCCTTGCAGAGCTGATCAAGGCTTACGAGCTCAGCTAAAGGATTGCGTGGAATACCCCCTGAGGATATATGTTTCCTTGTACATAATATGTGTTTCTGCCTCGTTCTCATAACTTCATAAACGATATCGCGAAATATCACAAACGATTTAACCCGGTATTGTAGATCCAGTAGGAGAACCTATATAGGCAGCGCTTCATTTCGGAATCAGAACCTTCCGGAGGAAGTTTTTCTGGTGCAAAATCATTGCTACATGGTTTGCTATTCGACTTGGTTTGCAAAAAAGCTAAATGAGGTTTACGTATATAATCTAAAAAGGTTGATCCTGCTTGATTTTGTAACCGGATACACATGGATTTGAGAAGGAGAATTAGGGTTTGCCAAGGGTTGAAATTGTAAAGAAAAAGGAAAAAGAAAAAAAAACCAGTAAGTAGAATAGCTGCATATATGGATTTGCAAAAAAAAAAAAAAAAAAAAAGTGTCCTGATTTTGATTTTTGCGTAGCAAATGGTATCGAATTTGTGCTGGAACCTTCGTGGCGATTTTGCTGCTTAATAATGGTTGATTGTTCAGACGAACCAGGTCTGGGAACCTGTTTCGAAGTAATCGCAGGCTGCTGGAGAATGTTTATTTATTCATTCATATCCTGTGATGAAAAACCTGACTACTAAATAGTACTTCTGGATTGAACTGACATCTATCAAACAATGGCTAGCATGCGTGCAATCGGTTGGTTCTCGCCACTCTTAAAACTCATATTTTCTTGTTTAACATGAAGCTATCAGATATTAAGGGGGGGAAAGGCCCCGCAGCCAATCTGTTCATCAACACCATCCCCAAACCCCTGCCTGCTGCAGGAGAGGCCCTTGTGAAAATCAAAGCGTTTGGCTTGAACAGGATGGATTTGTTGCAGAGAGAGGGGATGTATCCGGTTCCCCCTCAAGCCCCTAAGACATTGGGTGTGGAGTTCTCTGGCGTCATTGAATCCTTGGGCGATGGAGACTGTCTCGACTTCAAAGTCGGTGATGAGGTATTTGGATTGGCTTACGGAGGTTTGTTGTAAAATCTCCTGGTTAAATATGACTGTGTAATCCCCTCTGCAATTTCTCACATGTGGGCGTTTTTAAACACAACAAAAGGAGCGTATGCGGAGTATATTTCATCTTCTGTGCAAACACTGCTTCACAAGCCTGCAGAACTATCGTGGATAGAAGCGGCGGGGATACCAGAGGTAACGAATTTCTCAGATCACCCTACAAGGATTTGTCACGTCGCATACTGATTACCTGTGAACTACTACAATCTTGCAGACATGGTTCACAGCAGCGCAGGCTATGTATCTAGTAGGCGAATTTAAGCCAGGAAAATCAATACTCTGGCATGCAGGAGCATCAGCTGTTTCCATCTCTGGAATACAACTCTCAAAAGCAGACAACGCTAGCAATATCTATGTTACAGCCGGCTCGCAGGAAAAAATCGACTTCTGTGTCAAGGACCTGGGGGCAACGGCCGGATTTAACTACAAGACTCAAGACTGGGTTAGCGAGTTGAGCAAGGTTACCAATGGCCGCGGCGTCGATGTGATTGTTGACTTCGTCGGTGCAAGCTATTTCCAAGGAAATCTTGACGCAGCCGCGAAGGACGGCCGTATTGTCAACCTCGGTTTCTTAGGCGGCACGAAGTTACCTGCTGGTATTGATATCAGCCAAATTCTGAGGAAGCGTTTGAGGTATGAAGGCAGTTCTTTGAGGAGTAGGGATATCGCGTATCAGAGGCAGCTTCGGGATCTATTGCTGGATCATGCAATGCCTAAATTTAGGGAGGGGACATTCAAAATTTATGTTGAGAGAGTCTTCCCATTTGAGAAGGTTATCGATGCCCATTTGCTCATGGAAAGTAACCAGACCAAAGGGAAAATCATTTGTACCATTACAGAAAGCTGATGGCGAAGGGCAATATCTGTCTGCAAAACGAAGTTTCAAAGAGAGTCTGAATAGTGGATTATACTTAGGCCTTTTTTTACTCGATTTTATTACCCGTACTATGGATGAATTGACCTCGTGTGGAGAATGATTCTCGCCAAGTTATTGGAGGCGGTAACTCTTGGCAGAAATTGTCGGAAAATTTTCACGAATTTGAATAAATAGTATATTGGGCCAAAATATCTGATCGAATTCCGCACAATGCATCACTTGAGAGTGACGTTGTTAAGTCTGTTTCCCTCTTTACCCTAAGGTGGGTATTTGGCTATTTTCATCGTGTATAGCATTGATTGGTTAAATTGCAACCCTACACTCGCAGAGTCCGTTTCAGCAACTTTTTCCATTATCAGTACAATCCCGGACTGACGGAAAACATGGCTAAACGGAGTCGGAATATGGAATCTAATTCAGAGCGTTCTTCTAGACCAAAAAAAAAGTCCAAGGGAGATGCTAAACCTGAGCAACCTCCCTACGTCCAATCTGCCGAACTGGATGCGGTGCCTCAGTCTGAGATTGATGACTTCCTCAAGTCCAATACCATTCAGATTTCGGATCCCTCGATCAAAGAGACTTTACGTCCTATCACCGCGTTCTCTTACCTGCCTTCAGATTCTAATCAGCTGTATGGGCCTCTAGAGCACTTTTCAAAACCGACCCCAATTCAATCAGTCACCTGGCCATATTTATTCGCAGGCAGAGATGTCATCGGTGTCGCTGAAACCGGAAGTGGGAAAACATTGGCCTTCGGCGTCCCGTGTATTCGGAAGGTGTTGGAAATCAATGCTTCTCACTCATCATTCCGAATCTCTGCTGTTATCATTACACCTACTAGAGAGCTGGCAATGCAAATTTATGACCAGCTAGTCAAGTTCACCCCGAATGGCGTAGGCCTAGCATGCATATACGGAGGTGCCTCGAAGGACGATCAACGCCGTGCACTGAAGAAAGCGTCCGTTATTGTTGCAACACCAGGGAGGTTAAAGGATTTTCACAGTGACGAGTCCTTGAACTTGAAAAAAGTGAAGTACCTTGTGTTAGATGAAGCCGACAGGATGCTGGATAAAGGGTTCGAGCAAGATATCAAAGATATCGTAAGCACCATGCCTTCGTCAAGGAAACGCCAGACAGTTATGTTCACCGCAACTTGGCCTATTAGTGTACGGAAGCTCGCGACTACCTTTATGAAAGAGCCAGTCACGGTTACGATTGGAGGCGATCTCTCTTCCGACATCCGTGCTAACACGAGGATCAAGCAAATTGTGGAGGTTGTAAAACCAGAGAATAAAGAGAGTCGGCTTCTGTCCTTATTGAACCAATATCAAAGGGGCAGGAATGCTATGGATAAAGTGTTGGTATTCTGTCTTTACAAAAAGGAGGCGACTCGTATTGAGCGATTTATCCGTTCTAAGGGTTTCAAGGTTGCGGGTATTCATGGTGACATGAACCAGACAGAACGCTTCAACAGCCTGAATGCATTCAAATCAGGTTCTGTACCTGTTCTGGTTGCTACAGATGTGGCCGCTCGTGGACTAGACATTCCAGCCGTCAAGCTAGTCCTAAATGTCACATTTCCCTTGACAGTTGAAGACTATGTCCATCGAATTGGAAGGTAAGACCACCACCCTATACAGAGCTATTATGCTGCTGATATACCTAACTGCTATATTAGGACTGGTCGGGCTGGTTCGGATGGGTTGGCGATTACGATGTTCACCGAGAATGATAAAGCATTGTCTGGAGGGTAAGTGTGGGATATTATTTGTCATAGTCATGTTACTGGAAAATGCTAACATCAAGTTAGATTAGTTAATATCTTGAAGGGAGCTAACCAAGATATACCCGAAGCACTCTTAAAATTCGGTACCACCGTGAAAAAGAAGCAACACGATTCTTATGGCGCGTTTTTCAGGGAGGCTGACACCATGAAAACGGCCACCAAAATCAAGTTTGATGATTAGATTTATTTATCATCCGAATTCTGACTTATACCATTTTGTACTTGCGGTACTGTTCAATGAGATAGCTCCTCTCAAGAAATAGACTTTATTATTTTCATTGTTTGTTGGTTAGAAACGAATATTTATGGGGAAAAGTAAGGTGCTAACATGGAACTTACATGGAGACCGCAAAAATTCCTCCAACAAGGAGCATTCTGAAGATGTCCCAAAGCTCAGATTCAGGGCCGGGTTGCAGCGCCCACATGGCAGCGTAGGCGCCAACACCAACCGCAACAGATTCGTAGTTTGGTAGCGCTTCCGTTATCTTAAAACCGTCTTTGCGATCTCGGAAATATTTTTTAATGAACCAGGAGCTCCAAATGATGCGGAGAGTCAAGTTCATGGAGTTCGCCCATATTATTCCGCGAGAACCAAATTTCCCTATCCTCAAAAACAAATAGGCCGCAGTAATGAATCCAGCAGAGCAAGCGCCCATCCAGCCGGACTGTTGCCGTAGCTCTGAATGTGTCGCCGTAGATGCGATGAAGGCCTCGGTAATGCCATTGAATGCTAGCAACGGAATGTAATAGCAGTAGTTGGAGAGGAGGCTAAAGATGCCAGGACGTGACCACTGAGAGCCTATGAGGAGCCTGAGCAGCTGCGGGGCTATGTTTGGACCCAAGGCACAGATGATTATCGAAAAAATACCGTAAGCATGGAGGATATCACAGAGGTATGACTTGGCCCGCTTCAGGCTCTGTGTTGTTGCCGGTTTTGTTTTGCTGGTGGTGAGAAGCTTTCCAAACACATTCCGGGAGCTTTCCTCAATAGGCTGGAAAATAATTCTTGCAACAAGACTTCCATAGTTGGAGGCCAACGCATACAGGCCTTGCTCCTCAAGGGTTGAAAACGCAGCAAGCGCCACTGAGTCACCTTGGGTGAGGATATGCTTTACCACCGACTGAGCGTATATATTGATGCTGAGGGAGAATAAAGGGATAGAGAAAAGGTTCAAAAAGTAGTTGGTTGTGTCCCTAGAAAGCCGTTAGGCTCATGTGTGCTCGATATCGGGGAGTTACTGACCGGTGGCGGATGGCAAGAGGAAATACCGAGAAACCATTTCGGATTGAATATGAGCCAATAGTGAAGAAATAGGCAAAAAGAAGGGTAAATGCATAAGCTGTTTGGCCCACAGCGAAGGGTAAAACGCCTATATCCATTCCCCGTTGAGATGCCCATATACTGATCCCACAGGTGGTCGAGGCTTTCATAACGGCAGCTGTTGTTTCAGCTAATGCTCTTATTTTATAAAGCATTCTGTGTTGGACTACAGCAAAACACGGTTCTGTCAATAGTTCTAAAAAGCATGCAAAACCGGTTACTTTGAGGCTGCTTTCGAAAAATGGCACTTTGACGACATCATGATTGGCAAATCGAGAATAAAACAAGCCCAGAAGATATATCAGAGGGCCACCTATTGCAACAGCTAGGTAAGAAAGATTCACGACAGCTTGGGTATCTTCCTGATAGTTGCCAGATTTCGGTTCTCCAGGCTTCTGGGGATGAGCTCTTTCCGCAGCGCTTGTGGGGATCGATCGTTGCGGACTCGCAGGCTGTCGTTGGAGAGCAAATCTAAGGCTTTCACGAGAGAAGTAGAGCGTGGTGACAGCATAAAGTTCTAGTTGGGTAGCAACTCCTAATATTCCTGGGGAGAGGTACCGTAGAAGAACTTGGTTTGCGAGAAATGTCAAGACTCGAGAAACGACCTGGATTAATATCAGGTACGTAGTACCACCGGTTCCAGATTCATTCGCCTGATACTTGGCTGGTCGATTGAGGAGCATCGTTGCAAACCGAGAGTATGCGACGGGTTCCGTATCCAGCCAAGTTCGCAACGGCCCTATGTAACTGCGATAGGGTGTTAGGGGTTTGCGGAATTCCACATTTCTTTTGCAGTATCCTTGGGTTGGCATGAAGATGATGATGTTAATTAACCAGCGGGTTTATCATGTGACCTGCATTCTCTCCTCTCTCTTCAAAGAACCAAATGTTATTGGTGGTTCATCCCCTCTACAGCATGGTGTCGGCGGTAGCTGATAGAAATGTTTTACCATTATTACAAAGAGCATATCATTCACATAGGATTACTCAGTAAATAACATCTGTCTGACAGAATTAGGCCGGTATCACTTAATCTATGCTGTTTAATGTTGGGTAACATCATTGTGAACCAAGAGATTATCTTGCAAATCCACCCCAGAAATTCTATTAATTCCATCTATTGGTTCATTAAGCTATACCTTTTTCCATTAAAATGGAGGGAGAAACAATGGATAACCACCACTTTTGGAACGGAACATGCTGAGGAGGAAGCTATACATAACAAAGACAACAGAACCCCAAACAATCACGTTCACTTTCTGCGATTTAGGATCCACAATTCGAGGGACCTTCACTGCAAGGAAAATCGTAGCGAATGAGAGGATAGCATCTATGCATTATCAAATATTAGACAATGTAATTGAGAAAATGTAAATGGTATGCTGGACGTATTGGCCGGGGAAACATACATAAAGCTGCAACAATTTGAGTTTCCAAACCAAATTGGTTCGAAAAGCCAGGGGCAAAATAGCTGATACCCCCCTTTCCATCCGGTGCCACATAAGGCACCTTTCTGATGTGGTTGAACATATGTCCGCTGGAGAAAATGAGGATCGCGATCAGGCTTATTGCGGCCCACAGGTTTCTGTTTTGGATAATAGGTACAATAAATCGTGACGACGCGGTAAAGAGAGTTATAGAACCGAGGACTAATGTCGTTGTTGTCATGATTCGTCCATAGTTTATGGGACGGACAATAGGCGGTCTATGGCCTTCTGGGAGGTATCGATTCATCCAATTGAATATCTGGTCTGCGGATAGCGGCCTTGTAAATAGTTAGCAATGGACTTCAGAGTAGAATGAGGATGTATTCTATACCCCGTGATATCATATCGGATAGGGGAGCCATCTGCTTTCGCCCCAGAGCCAACGGTAGGAGGGAAGAACATTAAAATCGGCGCCGTTTGAAGCATAAGCTATCAATGCAATAGTCAGTTAAAAGGTATAAATAGTTTTACTTAATAGATGACTCACTAACCTTCTGAAAAGTATCCCTTCCCCGAGAGAAGTCCAGAGTACCGAAAAGTAATCTAGGTGAGTCCTGACGGACGCCTTTAGTCCAGCTTCGGGCGAGGAGATCCCATTCGGGTTGAACTTCGCGGCAAACCTGGCACCCATATTTCGCATCTGCAGCGGTGAGGATTATGGCAACATGGTAGTCGCGTGGTTTCGATGTCAGGTCATCATACGACTGATCATCAAGTTCAATTGGGGTGCTCAATTTTGCCCGAGTTTGGTAGGTTTCGTACTTGTCAGCAGTAGATTTGGCAGTAGAAGAGATCACTAGGCAAATCAATGCCGTGTATATAGAGAGAGCCCTCATGGCTAATCTCTTTCACTTCAAAAGAAAGTAAGGCGACCAAACACCTGTTCGAAGCTTTTGAAACTTGGTGGGTAATGGCCACTGTGTACGGAGCGAGACTACGAAGCACTCTGGTGCGATCCCTGAACGTCCAATCATCATCATTCATCGCCTGGGTCATGGATTATTAATCCAACCACACCACCCGATCGAGCAACGGATTGCAAGTGCCAGCAGAGAGCTCTAGCATTTGTCAAACTGGCAGGCGATTTTTTCAGAAATAACTAGTGAAATAATCTAGTGCTAATGGCATCACGAAAGCAAAGGAGCTCGGCAGTTCTACAAGATTCGGAGGTAGGTCACCTATCGCTTGTTCAATTTACTTTCACTTGCTCACAAAACATGTGTTAGCTGCTTTCTCCGGCCAGTGCGCGTCTTGAGACAGAATATGAGAAAGCTCTCTGTCATACAAAATTAATTATCGGCGATGAGAAGAATCGGATCATGCGCGTCCAAGCCTTACTTGCGAGCCATGACAAAGACGATCTATGTTCCGAAGTTGAGGATGTGAAGACCCATCTGGCAAGAGCAGAGAAGATTGGTTCGGAAGCGCAGGAGCAGCTGAAGCAAGCACGGAATGAGATTGACTCCTTACGAAATTCTCTCCGAGTCCAGTTAAGGGAAATCGAGCATTTAAAGGCAAGCATTCGGATGTACAGTGATAAGACCCATACTGATACCTCCATAGTCGAACATAAACGAACTACAGGTGACGGCAGCCGACTCGAGTAAACTGCTAGCCGAAAAGCGAGCCATGACGCGGGAGATATCCAATTTAAAACACGAAATTGAGCAGCTGAAATCGCAGGCTTTGTCTCACCAAGCTTTGATGTCGGAGAAGCTCTCGCTAGAACGCCAGCTTCGCTCGCTCGAAGTTGAGCTTCAAAGTGAGAAAAATGCGTTAGAGAAGGCACGGCTGAAGGATGTGGAACAAAATGAGGTGGACAGCAAAATTCTTACCGAACTTGGGGAATTGAACAAGGAGCTTACTAGAGAGAGGCGTGAACGGGAAAAAATCCAGAATGACATGAAGACTGAAGCGCTCGAGTGGGCGCGTCATCGACTCGTTCTTGAAAACAAGCTGACTACTCTTCGAAATAAATTACGTCAGTCAAAAGATGACAGCACCTTAGACCAGCCCACAATACTGGATGATGCTGGATCACCGCAAGAAGACCAGAGACGGAAGAGAAGCACGTCTAGGTTTGAGTCGGATGTAGCGATAACCACTCCAGGAGCAGCCGTAGCTCACCAGAGAATGAGCAGGATGCCTGCTGTTCCTGGCGAGAAGTCAACTTTCTCCACAACGCCATTCCTGAATCGAACCAGTACTACGGCAGAATCTTCCGGCATGTCGGCGAGCGATTCGGATTTAGAGCACGTCCGTAAGCCAGTGAAAAGGATGAAGGAGGATGTTGAAGATAACCGGTCAAAATCTAGCAAACCCTCTCACCCAAAAGCCACAAAGGCGACGAAACGGAGACCCCCACCAAAGTCGCAAAATGTATCCGTTATGGTGAATTCTGATGATGATCACGAAAACACGCAACCCACAAAACGACAAAACGAACCCTCAACGTCAACTACAAATAAAAATGCGGGGACCAAACGGAGGTTTCTGCCGAGGAAGCCAGAGGGCACGTTGTTTGATGATGATGATGAACAAGGATTTGGGGAATCCAGTAAAGATAGAAGGCGGGTTCTGACTGGCTTTCGAGCCCTCGGGGGAGGTCAACTGGGCTTAGGTGCGCCCGGTCGACGGCTTGGTGGTGGTCGAGGATTAGAAGCATATGCAGATATATCTCCTCTACGACGGAATATTCGAGCTGCTCATAGTTAGAAAACTCCTATATAGAAAATGGCAGCATCTTAATGACGTGTTAAATAACTCTGCTGGACAGACGAGGTCAGCCCTTCTCAGAAAGCTTTCATATGAACCTACCCATGTCTATATGTATGCTAAGAGAAAGAATGGCTAGCTAATTACTGTTGTTGCTCTTCGTTGACACCATGAATTTAAGCACGTGATAATATTCAGTGATCGAGTTTTTGAAGATTCACCAATTGGCAGAGAATTGTTAACTCTACACAATTCAAACTCGATTCCCCAATCCCATATGAAATTCCTTAATCTCTTTCTTTCTTACCATGTGTGGCTGCCATCCGGCAAAAGTTTGGGGAGGAAACCGCGGGAACTAATTGAGATATCGAAAAGATATTCGTCGTCGAAGCGATGGCAAGCTCGGCAAGCGAAGGACAAATACTCAAGAGAAGCAGGCGTGAAAGGATTGAAAAGCCGTGCAGCGTTTAAACTTCTACAGGTGCCGTCCCTTCAATGTCCACGTTTGTGCTGCCCTGGCCTGATGATTGACTTCGACAGATCAATGACAGATACAAAATATTTAAGCCCGGTCAAAGCGTAGTAGATTTGGTATGAATGACTGACTACCTCTTTATTTAACAACATCTCTTGGATTCGACTGACTTGATAAGGGTTATGCCCCTGGATCTTGGTCACAGGTTCGACTGCCCCATTTTCCCTCTTCCTTCCATCCTTCAAAGGTTCTAATCATTGTCTTCCAGGTTGCCGTGGATCTCACTCAGCCAAACGGTCGTGTAGTTGGGGTGGATATAATTCCTGCTCAACCTCCGAAAGGTGTCTCGACTATCCAAGGAAACTTCCTCTCGCTGCAGATACAAGCTTATGTCCGAGAATTTCTACGAAACCCTAATCGTGGACGAGCACAAAGCCTCAACCACTTCAAGAATGCCGATCAACGTTCGCAGCCAAAGACCGATGACGAAGTCGAAGAAATTGAAGGATACATTGATCGGGAACGAAGTGCTAGTTCGCACATTACACAGGCAGATGGGGCCAATGAAACTATCCCCGATGTTGCTGTCGGGGATAAAACAGTTGATGTGGTGCTAAGCGACATGTCTGCCCCCTGGGAACAAACAACTGGTTTCTGGAAGAAAAGCCTTAGTGACCCATATCGCAGGATGATGAACACGAGCGGAATGAGCTTTCGAGATCATGCCGGAAGCATGGTATGATTGAAACTAATCTCCTATCAGTCTTTCTTTCTTCCCGTTACTAATGAGAAAACCCTGAAACAGGACCTCTGTAGAGCGGCGCTCGAATTTAGTTTCAACGTTTTAAAAACCGGGGGTCATTTCGTTTGCAAGTTCTATCAAGGGGCCGAAGATAAGGCACTGGAAAAGCAGTTGAAAGAACTATTCCAGACCGTCCATCGGGAGAAACCAGAATCGTCTCGTAGTGTATGTTTACAGGAAGTCCGCTGGCTTTGATCTCTTGCTAACTTTTCTTCTAGGAATCAAAAGAGGCATACTTTATTGGTTTAAGACGGAAACAAAATGCTGCCAAAGACGCCGTCCTCCGCACCTCTAGTTCATACGGATCAAACAGCAGTTAAACCCACAGTGGCGTATTATCTGTGCCCAGAAATTGGCATGCAAAGAATATGTATGCATTAGTCATTTATTCTTATATCCTAAATCATTTCTCCATCGCCTTCTTCGAAATCGCTCGACTCGAAATCAATGGAAGCTGAGGCCTCTTCGGCTACACGCTGGATCTGTGGAATTTAGTTCCAATTACAACCCGTTTTTTCAAGGAGAGACTTACCTCTTTCAAACCGCTCAACTCTTCAACATAATCACGTTCATTTACTGCCTTACGAACGAAATCCCACCCATGGTTTTTGTAGGCATCCATTATGTTACCCGAACAAGCACTACAACAGTTGTAGCTCTTCCCGGACACGATCACGTTCGAAAAATTAGACAAGAAGCCTCTAATTTGATGAGGTACAATTCCAAGAGGGTGATCGATCCGACTTTCTTGTTTGGGGATGGATGCAGGAGCTGCTGGACCACCTGGATGCTGCAAAACAGATACAAACAACTCAACTAACAAAGCAGATGCTATTGCAGCTATACCGGGACGAGTTACTGTGCATTGCTGGTCTAATGTTTGGTCCTTAATAGACTTAAAATGGAGTTAGCACAGAATACACATTTATAAATTGGGACAATGACTCACATCAGCTGGAGCAACAACATCATTACAAAAGTAACATCCCAGTTCTGTCTCTGGCGCCGAGCAATTTTCAACCCCGTGACGCATTACAACATACGTGTCGAAACCCAGCGCTGCATTCATCACTATCTTCCCGGTTGCCTTTCCCATGACGGTTGGTAACCACCGGGCCTCTCGAGTATCCAACAGAACAAAGATCGCATCGTGTTCATCAACGAGCTTCTTGAGTTCTTTAAATTCTAGTTCGGCCTTCGAAGCATCGGTTATTGGATGGCCTGGCATTGGGACGGAGAGCACATAACCAGATGCGTCGACACCTGGATAGATTTCTTCAAGAGCGGCGGCTGCGCGAAGGGCTTTTTTAGCCCCCCCTCCCAAGCAGTCATTAAATCCAAAAAGTGGTTGTCTCACGGGGTTGGAGAATGACACTGTTCCATTATCTACAAACGTAATTTTTCGAACACCCCATCCCTATACCCCCCAGCATCAGTTATTGAGCTGCATATAAGAGACCTTGCTGTTCTCACCAATAAATTGCGCGCAACGTAGCTTCCCAGAGTCCCTGCGCCCAGCAGGAGACATTTTGTATTTTTAATATTCTCGAGATTCAGGTTAGGGCTGATCCTCCACTTCATAAGTTTCAAATTCAGGTCCACCGATTGATCAGCCAGCCTGTTTCCTCTCGTTAGAAACGCTTTGTTCAAAGGTGCTTTTAAAATAATACAAAATCATGAGACAAACCTTCTAGGATCCATATATTCTGTGAGGTTAGTGACTCTTCCGGTTAATTTCCCCGCAGCGTTTCGTTCCCACCCAGTGACTTTGGGCATGGGCATTTGAGACCCGAGCCGCGAGTCATTCGGGTCGGGATGAGCTGTATCTGATCTCAATTTTAAGACAACACTTCGCCCTTGATCCCTTTTCGATTGAACATCACGATATCTAAGAATGTAGACTTCGTTAAGCTTCCATCGCTGGCGGACGAGAACCAACAGGTTCCTCAACATCCAACCTGGAGCATCTGGGTAGTTCGATGGATCAGCGAAGCACACAAAACAATCCTCAGGCAAAGCATCGCGGAAAAATCCGGTTTCAAAGTCTGAAATGGATGAAATTTTCCAGGAAAAGCCGAGTTCTTTAGCAATTGGTGATAAAGATTGCTGGTTATCGACATGCTCTTTGTTAAACACAGCGCCGTCCGATGGACTGTTGACCATGTGCCAATCCTTCCTAGCAAGAAAGAACCCGTGTTGGCGGGCATCAACTCCATATCGCCATGTTTGAACTGCGTCAACGAGGGTAGAACTTTCGTTGCCTGTCAACGGCTTCGGATCCATTACGGATGTCCATGACGGTGCGGAATGGATTGCAGGAAAAGCAAACCAATATGAAAATTTATACTTTTTCAGATCCGCAAATGAAAGCACAATGAATGAAACTAACAAGGATGGGCATGAATAAATGGTCTCATCATTGATTGCATCCCATATCTATTCCCAGCGGATCACCCTCAGTACAAACGTTAGTCTCAGTATGCGGGGTGATGCGTACCATCTTTCCAGTTTGTAGCAAAAGGGCATTCCTGTCAATATTGTGGTATTCTTCAATGGTGTTGACATTCTTTATCATCCCTTCTGCCCTATAGTAGCCAAATGGTACTCTGTGCAATGGAGGTTGTGAGTAAACATCACACTTTTGCCAGTAATGGTTCTACTTACTCATCTCGGGTCAACGCAGTTCCATGAATTTGCATACGGCATGAAGCCTCCGGGCGATCAGCAGATCTGATCTCATAAAGCCCAAGCAGCTTACGAGCGGAGTCATCAAGTTTGTCATGGTTTATCTTCAGCGAAGCTAAGGACGTATAGAAAGGAAGTTCTATATCAGAGGCGAAGGGTGTATACTGCATGTTGGCGACAGGCGACTTGAAATCCTAAGAGGACTTATCTTTTTGGCATAGGAATTCCAGCAAATAAATAACTGATTGTAGTAGAGCGTAGTCCTAGCTTTGTGTGTTCCAACAGGTGATCAACAATGGTCTCGTGGGGACATCAGCTGCGATGAAAGAACACTTGGATATTAGTAACAAAGCTCCCTTATGTTCACCTAGAGGTTATAATAGCCTCCAAAATGAGTTGTATATGCAAAGAAGAGTCGAGATAATGTTCGATAGGTTGGGTTATGATGTAAGATTGCTCCGCCGCCAAGAAACTCTCAAGGGCCGTTGTGAGCTTTGTCACATGATCAGGTTGCATACCAAATGTTTTTGTAAGTTTGTGTGTTGTCAGAAAGCATTTTATTGAAGTTATGGAAAATAAGATCGGGAACCCTCATTAACCTGCTTTTGTCTTGAAGAGGTATTGCATTGAATGTCGTTAAAACTTGCAACGGAAAATCACAGAACGATCAGCACCTCTTTTCGCCGACTATTCCCCAAAAATTATCTAGACCGAAACCATGCTAATAGGGCTATGTGGAGGTCTCTTTGCCAACACCCCGTTTCTATGATTCTTCTTCTTTTTTTCTTTCTTTCTTTTTTTTTTTCCATTTCCGGTGCAGAAGGAGAAGAAGGAAAAATAAATAGAAAACAGAAACTAACGTAGTCTTTAGGAATATGCTCTGGGAAAAACTCCGTTGCTGAATACTTAATCCAGAAACACGGATTCCACCAGCTCCAACTCTCCCATAGACCCGACCATCTTCTTGGACAAAATGAGCTACCTCCATCCTTCGGAAGTCAGGGCCCTAAAAACGGGGCTCACGTATTTCAGACTGTCGATGAACTACTCGATTTCGTAACAAGAAGATGGCAAGATCGTTGGGTTACTACCGATATCTGGGATGAGGCAACGCTGGAAAGGCTCCTCATGAGACCTTATTTCCTTCTCGTAAGCGTCGATGCCCCAGTTAGCCTTAGATGGAGCCGCTTCTCCGAAAGGTACTTGGATATTCTTTCTGCCTTTCACTAGATCTTCTTAGTCCTAACAATATCAGGGCTTGGCGTCGGCAATTGGATCCTCCTGACCTCGAGAAATTCGTTCTTTGGAACGACAAGCACCTATACGACAAGGATATTGGAATTACATACATGACAGACCGTGCTCAGCTTCGATTGTTCAACTCGTCGTCTTCGTTGCATGATTTTCACTCAGCGCTGGAAGAGTTGGATTTAGCCGACGAACGACGTCTCCGCCCTGGCTGGGATCAATATTTCATGCAACTTGCATCCCTGGCGGCCCAACGAAGCAATTGCATGAAGCGACGAGTAGGGTGTGTCCTAGTCCGAGGAAGGCGAGTTATGAGCACAGGATACAACGGGACGCCCCGAAATACGAAAAACTGTAACGAAGGCGGATGTGAGATTTCCAGTCACCTAAGATACTTATGGGAAGCTTTACTAAATTATTTCCAGGCCCTCGTTGCAACTGTGGAGAGGGTGGTGGTGCCGCACTATCCACCTGCCTCTGCATCCACGCAGAAGAAAACGCTCTATTGGAGGCCGGGCGTGAACGGATAGGCGAAGGTGCTACATTATATTGCAATACGTCAGTGTCCCACGATTGCATCTCTGAGCATTCCAGAATAGAAAATTGACTATGTCATTCCTACAGCTGTCCCTGCCTCACTTGCAGTGTGAAAATTGCACAACTTGGCATATCGGAAGTGGTCTACTCGCAAAGCTATAACATGGATAATGAGGTTTGTGCCTGCATTACCACTCATTCGCCTGAATCACCTGAATCACCGGAAGACAAACTACTGACTTACCCCAGACTGCATCAATTTTGAAAGAAGCTGGAGTGAAACTCCGTCAGTTTTTACCTGTAAGTCAAGGCTTTTCCAAATAAAAATACAAATAAAAATAGGACAACAATGTGGTCTAACAGCATTCTAGCCACGTAACGGACTCGTGTACCTCCAAAGGTCTAGTATTATGATTAGTAACGACCACGAAGTATTCAATCCGGAGCTGGCATTATGATGGCAGTGTACACGCGTCATTTACTCGGTAATTTGTAAGCATTTCTCTTTTCTTTCTTTTCATTTCTTTCCTTTTTGAAGTATAGAAAGAGAGAAAGATATATATGAATATAAATAAAAGCGGTATTATCGGCGTGTATCTGTGTTCAAGGAGGAATATCAAAAAATTATATCAAACTTTTGAGGAACGAGTAAGAAATCTCAGTACCAGGGGACCATATCTTATCGCCTACAGGTCCCCAAAGTACCACTTAAAATTTTTGCAAGCTAGTCAATTGGACAATACTAGTACAGTATACGCAGTCATGTAATGTAGATTTTTGTTGGATGCATGCAGACTGGCCACCAGCTTCCAACCACTGGAGATTTGAGATGAGAGTAGTGGCTACGCTCTCTATCTTCCACCATAGCCAGTTTGGTCGTGATTGGCCAATCACGCGGTTCCCTCAATAAAGCTTTTCTAACGTTGAATTTTAAGGCTACGTGACTCATCCCAACTCAATTAACTTCGTGCACAGGGCACATTGGTTTCTGGGACCAAGGCAAAGAATCAGCACTGCTCAGCCATTTGATAGCAGTGTTGCTCTTTTACTCTGGACAAAATGCCAGTTGTCCATCTGCTAGATTATGTAGCGGGCAACATCCGGTCCCTAGCCAATGCCATTGAAAAGGTTGGATATCAAGTCGAATGGATACAATCGCCAGAAGATGTGCAGAATGCAGAGGTTCGTTAGCATATTGATCCCTGGATGTGGGAGACATCGCTAACATTCATATCTGCAGAAACTTATTTTGCCTGGTGTTGGACACTTTGGGCATTGCATAACGCAGCTCTCAAATGGAGGGTATCTGGAGCCAATACAAAAACATATAGCTGCTGGCAAACCTTTTATGGGCATCTGCGTCGGCATGCAGGTTCTCTGCCAAGGTTCTGAAGAGGATCCAACTGTCCATGGTTTGGGGTTAATACCTGTCAGCTTGTCAAGATTTGATTCCACCAGTAAAAGTGTTCCCCACATAGGATGGAATTCAGCCATATGCTCCGGCAAAAACCCTGAGAAATACACCAGTCTGTATGGCCTTAATCCACAGAACAAATACTATTATGTTCATTCATACGCAGCTCCTCACGATGAGAAGGCGCTTGCTGATCAAGGATGGACGGTTGCGACTGCAACTTACGGAGACGAAACATTTATCGGCGCTGTTGGCCGCGATAATATCTTTGCGACACAGTTCCACCCAGAGAAAAGTGGCAAAGCTGGCCTCCGTTCGCTTGAGTTTTTCTTGAAGGGCCAAAGCATTCGAAATTTAGACTCCCCTCCATCCGTTACAAGTACTAGCGGTCTAACGAGACGGGTTATTGCGTGTTTGGACGTCCGTACGAACGATGATGGTGACTTAGTAGTAACAAAGGGGGATCAATATGACGTGCGTGAGAAGAGCGGACACCAAAGCGGAGGACAAGTAAGGAATTTAGGAAAGCCCGTGGAAATGGCGAAACGATATTATGAGCAAGGTGCCGACGAGATTACGTTTTTGAATATTACTTCCTTCCGACATTGCCCTGTCGCAGATGTCCCAATGCTGGAGATTCTGAGGCAAACTTCGAAAACGGTTTTTGTCCCATTGACTATCGGTGGAGGCATCAGGGATACCGTTGACTACGACGGCTCTAGAATTTCGGCCTTGGATATCGCGAAGATGTATTTCAAATCCGGGGCCGATAAGGTTAGCATTGGATCCGATGCAGTTATCGCTGCAGAGGATTACTACGAAAATAACCGCACCCTCAGCGGTCACACTGCAATCGAGACCATATCGAAAGCGTACGGTAACCAAGCCGTAGTAGTTAGTGTCGACCCGAAGCGAATTTATGTTAGTGCGCCTGAAGAGACACCGCATCGGACGATCAAGACGAAATATCCCAATGTTGCTGGTCAAGAATTCTGCTGGTACAGATGCACCATAAAAGGGGGAAGAGAAGGTCGAGATATCGATGTCTACCAGCTTATCAAGGCGGTAGAGGCCATGGGGGCAGGAGAAATCCTCCTTAATTGCATCGACAAGGATGGGAGCAACAGCGGTTTTGATATTGAACTCATCAATGACGTGAAATCTTTTACCACAATTCCAGTTATTGCGTCCAGTGGGGCCGGTAAACCTAGCCATTTTGAAGAAGTTTTCATGGAAACTACCACGGATGCAGCTCTAGGAGCAGGCATGGTACGTACTATTAAACACCTCAAATATGCTCCTTATTACATACTGACCTGGAAACTAGTTCCATCGGAATGAATACACTGTGAGGGATGTAAAAGATTATTTGTCCTCCAGAGGGCTTGTAATCCGTGAATTTGAAGAGTAGCTGCGTGTCAGAAATGATATATCATATCAAGGATTCTGTAATCTCTTACTATTAAGGATCTAATTATCAGAGTTAGAATAAGCAATTCAATCTTTTTATCAATATTTAGTATTTGAATCAATATTCGGACCTTATTCAGTGCTGACAGTTATGAGCCTGAGTTTGCTATCTATTACTATCTATTCAATTATTGTGATATTTATTCATACCAACTTTCTTATCAGCAAAGATATTTATTTGATTATATCTATCTATTCAATCTCACTGATCTTTTTATTAGCAATAATTGCAGCATTATCTATATCTATCTGATTTTTATTAATTTATATATTGATGAGAGATAGCAGTGAATTGTATATTGATTATATCTATATAATTCTATATCAATTATATTTATTCAATTCTATTCTCTGAGCTCTCAGAGTTCTCTACTAAGCATATTATGAAAATAAAAATTGAATAAGATATAAAGAATTTTAAATACATTAATAGTATCAATATTTATTGAAATAAATTTAAAAATATTAGTATAAAAAGCAATAAAAATTGGTTCTGTAACTGGGAATTTCTAAATACAAAACCTCAATATAAAGATGGTTTTTCCACACCACTGTAAGACTTTGTGATTTTAGAGTAGTTCTTGTAACAGATTAGCATTTATTAGTAGTTAACTTATGCAATCAACTTTCTATCATCTATTCACTCTCTTATATACTCTCATATACTCATGAAACACTCCTCTTCTCACAATTCTGTTTCATATTTATATAGTCTCTAACAATTTCTCTATATAATTTTTAATATTTTTCTATTTTATACTTTACTGCAGTATGATTTTTGATATTCTTCTGTTTTAATTCTTTTTCTATAAAAATTTTTTTATACAATCTTTTCTTCTAATCTTTCTTCTCTTTTTTTTCTTAATTAATTTGTAAACTGTTATCAGAATAGTATCAAGTTTGTTGATAGTATTATTGAAATAAATTATATAAACTGTATAGATAATGTAAATAATTTAATCTGCAATATCAGTAATTTCTATTTAATTGATAATATATTTATTATATTATAAATTGATTCATCTGTATTAGTCTGAGTACTCTGTATTTACAATTATATCTAGATATTTAAATTAAATTTAAAAATAAGTTATTCAAGTTCTACAAAGCTGCATTATTATAATAGTACTATAAAAAAATCTAAATACTTAGAAATTTATAATTATATATCTGTAAAGAGATCAGAATATCTATAAAGTATTTTCTTTAAAGAAAAAGAACTGAATTTTCTGATCTTCAAGTTATCAGAATCAAGAATTATAATTTTATATAAAAATAAAATAAACTATAAATATCTCTATAAATACTTCTTTATAAATAAAAACTGAAATTTTATAGAAGATAATATTAAACTCTATAGCTTTCTTCAGCAGTAATTTCTGTAGATAATAAAACTTTAATAACAACTGAATAATCTGAATATAAATACATTAAAAATTATATAAATATTAATATTTTTTATATATAAAAGAAGAGAACATCTCTCTCTTCTCAATAAATTTATGAAAAAACTCTTGATTTACTTAGTCTGAAAATAAAAGATAAAAACTAAGTTTAAAAAAGATAAATCTGTGATAGACTCTCTGCTCTTATAAATTTACTATATTTATAATTAATTAAAAAAAAATACTCTAGTCAAATTTCAATCTTGAATTGAGTTATATATATATAAAATATACATCTCTGAAAAAGTCTTTCATCAACTAGATATTCTATTTTTAAACTCTATACTTTAAATATATATAATACAATGATTGAATAGAAACTATCAGAGAAATATATTACTGATGAATTATCTATCTAATTTTAACAGTAAAATATATAAAATAAAAGATCAGAACTAAGATAATATTATTAAAATCAATTTTTTAAATCAGTATATTAATTTTAAACTGCTCAAACTCTGTATTTTATATCTTATATTTATATATTACTATAACTACTGCATCTATTTATATCAACTTAATAATAATTTTATATACTTCAATACTATTCAAGAAAAATATAATAATTATAGATAGAATTATATATCTATTAATATATTAATTACATCAGCTGTCTCTATAAATACTATAAATTAAATCTTTTATATAAATATAGAATAATCAAAAATATCTGATTTCTTTGAATAAAAAATTATTGATTGAATTATCTGAAATATCTGTATTTATTGTAATAAATCAGAGTATTTTATAAATCAGTATATCAATACAGTAGCTTCTGCTTCTATACTGTAAATAAATACAACTATATTTATAAATAAATAAAAATAGAGAAAAAAAGAGCTCTTACTCTAAAATATAAATAAAAATTTAAAAAATAAAAAATTAACTGAAGATTTGAGTAGAAAATACAAACAGATTGTGATGAGTTAGTATTTATTAGTAGTTAACTTACACAATCAACTCTCTATCATCTATTCACTTTTTTATATACTCTCATGTATTCACAAAACACTTCTCTTCTCACAATTTTATTTTATATTTATATAGTCTCTAATAATTTCTCTGTATAACTTTTAATATTCTTTCACTTTATATTTCACTGCAGTATAATCTCTGATATTCTTCTATTTCAATTCTTCTTCTATAAGAATTCTTTTATACAATCTCTTTTTCTGATTTTTCTTCTCTTTCTTTTCTTAATTAATTTGTAAACTATTATCAGAATAGTATCAAATTTGTTGATAGTATCATTGAAATAAATTGTATAAATTATACAGATGATATAAATGATTTAATTTATAATATCAATAATTTCTGTTTAATTGATAATATGTTTATTATATTACAAATTGATTTATCTGTGTCAGCTTAAATACTCTGTATTTATAATTGCATTTAGATACTTAAGTTAAATTTAAGAATAAGTTATTCAAATTCTATAAAACTGCATCACTGTAATAGTG